TTGTAGTACTTTTAAAGTTTTCTCACCGGTGAATGACACATGATGTAGCCCAGCGGTTAATCCAGTCCTCGCACCAGCTTGTTAGAAGTGAGCTACGTGCATGAACTGTGTTCCGATCGATATGATCCATATACAGTGTTCATTGCTCCCTACTCCCTGAGCGGGGAAAATCCATTGAAGTTTACTTCACTTCGGAACATGGGCTGGAATTGTAAACCGCTGATGTAGCCTATTGTAGTAATGTTGTCTCTGGTCTGTGAGCGTAAATGCATTCAGGGGGCATGGCTTTGGACGGCGATTGCAGGGGAGGGTGGGACGTTCCCTTTCAGTGCTATCAGGCTAAAGTTAGCATTTTCCAAGATCTCCACACCAGTTGATGGCAGTATATTTAAACCTTACATGTGGGGAATGGGAGTGAGCAACTTGGATAGAGGTGATTCAAAACCAAGCCCTTAGAATATGTTGTGGAGCGTTTAGATCCTCTCCTGTAACAGCTTTGCAGGTAGAAATGGGTGAAACACCACTAGACATTAGTGAAATTCATCTTAAAATGGTATATTGCACTGGTATTAAAGGTCATTTTACCAATCATCCAGTAAAAAAAATATTGGAGAGCTGCTGGGAATATGAGCAGACATATATGAATAGTTTTGGCTGGACAGTAGGCAAGCAGGCTCAACAAATAGGTATCAGTAATATCGATATTAGCCCCACGGTGGCTCTGCCAGTATATCCACCTTGGTTTTTTTCTATGCCAACAGTTGATTTGCAAATATTTAATTTAATAAATGAAAACAAGAAATATGTTCCAAAAGAGAGAATAGTGCAGCAGCATTTAGATAGTCATTACTTTCAATATTTACAAATTTATACAGATGGTTTTAAAGACCCAGAAACTGGGCGTACAAGTGCTGCCATGTATATTCCTCACTTTAAATATAAATCTGCAAAAAGAACTTCTAATAATATATCAGTATATGCAGCAGAGATGATCGCTATTCAGATAGCTTTACAGTGGGTGGAAGAAATCCAACCAACAGTGGTAATCTGTTCAGATTCATATTCTGCACTCACAAGTATATTGAGTGGAAAATCAGAATCTAGACAAGATATTTTATTAGAAGTACTGCAAAGTTTGTACCGAATACGGCAACTGAGAATTATAGCAGAATTTTTATGGGTGCCTGCTCATGTTGGAGTGGAAGGAAACGAGGAGGTAGACAAGATAGTGAAACAGGCTCTTAAGGACACAAATATTGACATACATATACCCGTGAGTAAATCTGAAATTAAAGGTTTAATTAAGGGGGCGTGTTAGAACGACCGTTTTAGGTAGGCATGGTTGACTCTTAACTTTTATAAAGAATATCTCTTTGGATTTGAGACTTTAGTCTTTGCAGCTTTACAGATGTATGCACCAAGAGCTTGTAACACTCCAAAGAGAAAGGAAAAATTTAAATTGCATCATATGACCCCTTTAATAAATCATTCCAGATGATAGGAAGACATGAATCTGTCTTCCAGACTTCCAGAAACTGTAGAGCATGTGCTGATTAACTGTAGGGCATATGAAAGGGAAATACAGTTAAAAGAGGAATTAAAATCTGCCGGCATTAATTCTATGACATTAAGAATGTGTTAAACAGTTCTCATAAAGCTCTTATTAATTGTCTGAAAAGAACAAATGTATATAATAAAATATAGGTAGAAGTTTTTTTTTGTTTTTTTTTTAATTAACATTTCCCTTGATATCACACTCCATCCCAATAGGTGGCGGAATATGCACCAAAAGCTGGTTTGCCAACCGCCATTAAACATCATCATCATCATAAGAAGAAGAAGATCTCCTACTGCACCTTTAATGGACAACTAGGCTATATCAGGGAAAAGACATCAGCGCAGTCCGGCGCAGGGAAAATAAAAATAAAAGCCCAAGATGAAGCCCAAGGCTCCAGACTGCGACTATTTTTTCTGCCGGTGCGAGTAAATTTTGTGCGCGGTCGCACTGGCGCGACCACCGCGTTGTTCAATTGGCACTGCCATTTCTGTTGCATATGAGAAATATCAAACGGCAAACGAAACAAAAGCAACAAAATCCCGCTACTCGTTTGAGCTGCGCAGCGCGGACCGTTCATCAGCTCGGACCGCGACTCAAACAAACTTGTCCGAGCTCAGAACAACTTTACTCGGGAACCAGAATTGATTTCGCGACACTGTTACAGCACAGCGCTGCGAGATCCAGTGAGAAGTGTTTGAATTCGCCGCAGAATGAATAAAGGCTGCTGCGAGATCTAGTGAGATGCATTCAAATTCTGCACTGAAATCTCGGTTATAAACAGATCAAACAGCGCTGACGTAGAAACCCAGAAACAGTAATGCTAACTGTAACCATGGTGTTGTGGTAGAAATAAGCAAATGTTATTACATTATTCATTTCAGGGTTTGTACAACTTTTTGAGAGAGAAATTCAAGCAATTTTCAATGACTTACAAGCATTTCACACAACTGTTGTCAGCACTTTAAAGCTCCAAAATGATTCAATTTGAATGTCATTTTCAATGGAATGACCAAAATATACTGTGATGAACAAACACGTGTAAAATAAAAAAAATAAAAAAAACACCGTTATAACCTGTAGATGGCATTCAGGGTTTGTACAACCTTTTGAGAGAGAAATTCAAGCAATTTTCAATGACTTACAAGCATTTCACACAACTGTTGTCAGCACTTTAAAGCTCCAAAATGATTCAATTTGAATGTCATTTTCAATGGAATGACCAAAATATACTGTGATGAACAAACACGTGTAAAATAAAAAAAATTAAAAAAACACCGTTATAACCGATTTCAGTGAAGAAGGTGCTGCACTTTATAAACCATGTTGTTGAGCCTTTCTTGCTAGAATGGGACTGTGTGCTGAAAAATCCAACAAGTTAACTCAAATCATTTGAGGATTGCCTTAAACAATTTAAGTAATAAATATATATAAAAAATAAATATTTATGAGTACTGTAAACTTTTTCATTTGAATCACTATAAACTATACTCAATGCATTGTTTAGCTAAATATTGAAACCTAAAATGAAACCTAAAATTAACTCAAGCAAGTCTCTAGCAGTTAATTATTAGCTAGCAATTCTGCACATTGTAATCAAAAAACATCACAGCATGTGCAGAGTTATAGCTTTTCAAATAAAGTAACAGTTTTTCAGCCACTGGCTCATCCTCAACATAAACCACAAGTTCTACACTTCAGCACAATGGTAACCTCCCAAAGGTCCAACATGACATAAAAACGTTAAAATACCAAAACTGGAAATAAACTGGGAACCCAAATTCAGTTTAAACGAATTATTTGCTTCATTTAGTAAATTTCTCTGTGCGGTTTTACAGTGTCAGTTTTTTTTGTCCTCCCTTTCGCATCCAAAAAAATAAATAAATAAAATAGTTGGGAAATTTGAGTTGTGAAATGACATGAAAGGTTCCAGTTTCAAGCCCCATAGAGTCACTTCAGATCAAAGTGTCATGATAAAACTAGTGATATTTTCATTCATCTGGTTTTGAAAGTTCATGAAGCAGTTCATCACAATTCCTTAAGAAAAGTTATTTTCCATTTCTTTTGATTTCAAAGTGGGATCTGGTATGTGATAACAAAGGTCTGAATAAAGCTGTGACTGCCATCTTCTTTGTCGGAGTGATGTTTGGAGCAGCTTTTTTTGGAGGCATGAGTGACAGGTGATGTTTCAAAAAACCAACTGTATATTTTGATAAATTATGAATTATTTGCATTTTATGAAGACCGCCACAAGCATTAAACGTTCTGTATGAATAAACCTATCTTCTGTTTGGCATGTAGATTTGGCCGTAAGCCGATGCTGCTGGTGTCCTGTATATCAGGAATGGCTTTTGCATTGGCCAGCATCTTTTCTTCCTCCTTCATCATGTTTGCAGTGCTGAGATTCTTTAGTGGATTCACCATCACTGGCATCGCTATGGTCTCAGTCGTACTCAGTAAGACCCCTATCTCAGGTCCTCAGATTATGATTGAATGTGAATATAAAACAAAGTAAAATGGCCTTACTGTATATGCGTATCTTTCCTCAGATGTGGAGTGGGTGGACATTAAGCACAGGAGGCTTGTATGTATAATTGACAGTATGGCATGGGCTGTTGGGAGCACCTCATTGTCTCTTATTGCGTTCTGTATCAGAGACTGGAGATGGCTGACAGTGGCTGTCACTTCACCTTTACTGCTATCCACAGTCCTCTGGTGGTAATGAACCTTGCATATTCTGTCAAATTAAAATCACAACATTACTGTTATGAAATGTTATATAGAGCAAATGTTTCTGATGTAGGTGGGTTCCAGAGTCGGCTCGGTGGCTGATAGCCAATGGCAAGGCTGAAAAAGCTCATTATTATCTTCATAAATGTGCTGTCATGAACTGCAAGGAGGAAGTTATCTCAAAAATCAAACCTGAGGTGAGAGAAAACGATATATATAATGTTGGATTGATCACTTTTTAAAAAAAAACAACAATTGTCTGTCTGTAGGCTAACTACATCTCTGTCTTTCTTCTAGGCTCTCTCAATAATAGTTACGGACGGGGGAAAGAAAAATTATTCGTACCTGGACCTTGTCAGAACCCCTAAGATGAGGAGATTGGCTCTGCTCACAGGAACCATATGGTGTGTAAATGAACCACAGTTCAACAGTGCCCACTTTTTCAGTGGCCTTGGTCCTGACGTACTTTTCCCATTCATTTTTCCTATATGGATTTTTAAAAAGTCTTTGTTAAAGAGTTAAAAGCCATGAACCAAACAACCAGTTATGAGGTGAATCACAACAACATTACAAACTTTGATTTAAAGCAAAAAAAGTATTTGAAAATCAGACAAAATTCAAAGGCACAAGACAATAAATGTATTGTAAAATGTGTATATTCATAGTACAGTGCATTTTGGTTGTTTCGATTATCTGATTGTTGAAGATTTCATTGCAGAATCATGGGTAATGTAGTTTATCCTGCAGATTCCTGTTATTAAATACAATTAGTTAAAAAAACAAGTTGAAATTATGCAGGCTGCTGGCTGCACTATAGCCTTCAGTGGCACTAGATTACAGAACAAGGACAGACTTCAATGTCTAAATAATAAATAATCTATTAATGGCTTTTCACTTCTTGTAGGTTTTGTGTTGCCACTATGACCTATGGTATAAGTCTCAACATCACAGGCTTTGGGCTAAATATGTACCTCACTCAGTTTGTGTATGGAGCCATTGAGATTCCCTCTAAACTGATGGTATATTACCTGCTGGAGAAGATTGGCAGACGTAAAACTGAAGCAGGAGCTCAGCTGTTGGCTGGAATCAGCCTCATGATTAACATATTCATACCCAAAGGTGAGACTGGCAAAACCAACATATGATTATGCAGTGATGATTGTGATTCCATGTGCAAGAGTGCTGTTGCTAGTGAGTATCTTGGAAAAGCAGCATGATTACTTTTATATAACAGATTGATTAGACATTAAGACTGCAGACATCCCATCTGTCTACTGCATATTGATAGCTGCTCCCCAATGTCTGCAAATTATATGCAATATAATGTTACACCAAATTCTGTGACCATCTGTGATCGTAGTAGGCCCTGTTGTCACTGTGGAGTTTGAACTTGATTACACAGATGAGTTCAGTATGCAAACAGCCTATGTTCAAACATCGGTGACCTAGAAAATTCTGTAACTGGAAGTCACTGTTCATTAAATGTTCGCGCGAGAATGTGCATATTATTGTGGATGGACAAGTCAGTTGGGGTGCTGAAAAAGCCGACTGAGCTGTGCAAAACATTTCATTTACGTAAAGAAATATGATTATTAGACAAGCTCTCCGAGTGTTATTGCATTTTAATTATGTTTTAACATTGTGCTTTAACATTGTGTGTGTAAATATATACAGTATAAGCGATTCTGTGAGAATTAGGGGGGTATAACAGATTTCATTAACCTGTTATGCTGCCTTGTCAGATTTGGTGACCCTGCTGTGTGTCTGTTACTGTTCACATAAGACCAAAAATGCTTTTTAGGATATAAAATAGAGATGTTTAGACATCACCAGAGTGAACTTCAGTAACAATAACGCCATTTTGTGTCAAATAGAGGGGGTAATCCGTGTATCATTCGATCATTCGTTTTTTGATTTAATATTGAAAGTAGAAAAATGAGAAAACGGCTCCTTTTTAGTTTTTTAGTTTTTTTTTTACAAAAACCGAAAAACGAAAATTCATTTTCCAGGGTGGAAAAATGAATAAACAGCTTGAATATTCGATTTCTACACAGCCTACGTGTAGAAATCGAATATTCAAGCTGTTTATTCATTTTTCCACCCATGAACGAAAAATGAAAATTTAAGCTGAATTTTCGTTTTTCATAAAAAAAAACAAAAAAACGAAAAAGGAGCCGTTTTCTCATTTTTCTACTTTCAATATTAAATAAAAAAACGAATGATCGAATGATACACGGATTGGGGGTAACCTGTTTTGCTGCCTTGTCAGATTTAGTGACCCTGCTGTATGCCTGTTGCTGTTTACATCAGACCGAAATACTCTCTAGGATATAAAATAGAGGCCTTTAGACTTCACCAGAGTGTATTTTGGTAACATTAAATACATTCTGTCAAATAGAGGGAGGTAACTTTTAATACTGCCTTGTCGGATTTTGTGACCCTGCTGAATGTCCGTTACTGTTCAATTGAGATGGTCCTCACTGCAGAACACAAGATCCAGGGGGCAAGGTTGGATCCAGATCCAACTCCTCCCACCTTACATATACCCAAACCTACCAGTCTCCACCCGATCCCTAAACCCACCCATCTCCACCCCCTAGATGTGGATCATCCAACCCCACCCCCTGGATCTTTGTTCTGCAGTGAGGGGCCACTGGTTCAATTCAGACCAAAAAATGGAGAAGAGAGAAGTTTAAACATCACCAGAGTAAATTAGAGTAAATTCTTTGGTGCTAACCACTAATCTATAATAGAGAATATATATAGATCAGTGGTGCTAACGCTATTTAAATTGGATTAGTGATGCTACCTCCCTGAAATGAGTTTTTTTTCCAGGGTGAGATGTCTGAGATACGGCTCCACCTGATGGCGGGATGATTTAACTGCAGAAAAAAAATTCTAACCGTGAGACGCTTCTTGGTCGATTAGATTCATGGACCGAAACTAACGGTTGTATAATAGGGTAGAATGGAAAAATACATTAAAACAAAAACACTGTAATTGTTCAAGGCACATTATAGAGATGGCATAAGCGCAGTACAATTTGAACTTACCATAATGGCCACTAGAGAATACATTTCCTTTGTTTATTCAGTCTTACTGTGTTCATTATTCTCTTTCACATTCAGATCAGTGGGTTGGTCGTACTGTGGTGGCAGTACTGGGTAAAGGTTTTGCAGGTGCTGCTTTTTGTACAATTGTATTATACAGCTCGGAGCTTTACCCGACTGTCCTCAGGTAACGGTCAAAAACAGTATAATTTGATATTTTTATTATTTGATATAAATGTAAAAAAAAAAATAAAGGAGTGCACTTATATTTCTTTCATCCCTCATACATTTCCTCATTACATATCAGTGCACAGTATTTAACTAAATCATTTATTTGACTGGATCCTTCAGGCAAAATGGGATGGGCTATAACTCGTTCCTGGGCCGGCTGGGTGTGTCTGTGGCTCCTCTAGTCCTGCTATTGGACAGTTTCTGGGGCCATTTATCTCAGACCATCCTGTGCTCTGTGGCACTCATTGCTTCTCTGGTGGCCTGGCAGTTACCTGAGACACAAGACAGGTGTCTACCTGAGACTATAGAGGATGTCGAGGGTACTGGGTAAGTCATAACCTATAGTATTTTGTTATGGCATCTACAGAAGACTTGTATTAACTGCTGAACATGAGTAATTCTGTTGAGTCAAGGATTTAATATTGGGACCAAAACAGATTTAGTTATGTTTAATCTAAAACAATCTGGAAAGTTGATATGTGTATATGCTCATTAACCACGTCATTTTTTATCATACTGAATAGGAAAAGTCTCATTAAAGATCATGACAAGCGGGAGGATGAGGAGAAAATGACAATGAATGGACACACTGAGGAGCACTGAGATTGTGTGCACATTCAATCTTAAATTTTACCCAAGTTGTTTAGTGTTCAGAGTTCAGATCCCAGTAAATGCACACAAAAACAAAATAAAAATAAAATAAAATAAAATAAAAACTTGAAAGAACAATTTCAAAGTTCTTTTAAAATGTTTTATTAGTCAAACAAGGATTTACAACTTTCTCCAGTGACATGTAATAATTATAGCTATTTTAAATGGAGGCATGAATGAATAAATGAACATCTGAGTTTGTGTTTGTGAAAGAGAGAAATAGAAAAAAGAGAAAGAGCCTATGTATGTGTGACTTTTGTATGACTTTTTTTAAGATGTCAGTGGCCATTTCTGATTATCAGAATGCATGCAATGTGCAATGACATCTGCATATATCTGACTATGTGAAAATAAATCTTTACACCACAATTTTATTAATATGTAAAAAAATATGTCTAACAAATAAAAAAAGAGCTTTTCCTTTGTGACTTAATGTTCACTTGGCATTTCATTCTCTGCATTTTCTTTCTCGTAAATGTAACAGCCCACCTTTCCAATGTTCACACCTTTTGGTCCAAACAGGTACCCGTAGCAGGGCACATGGCAGTATGGACTGCCCTCATGCTGCAGAAAATAGAGAAAATACAGCACATTATAAGGGAGCCTGAATCAATGATAAAGCAATCATTATGGTAGGTATTCTACAAATATTACACAATAAATCATTTACATTACATATAGGATTTACATTTCAGATTTAGCTACTGTTTTAATAGTGGAATTGAACATTTAATGAATCAAAAAATAATAAATAATAATATTTAATAACAAACAACTGACAAAATGTAAAAAATGCATTCAAAAATGCAATAAACATCTATCAGAGTAGGGAAGTTGAAGTAGTGAAGACGCAGCGACTGCATATTATGCTTTAATTGGAAGCAGTAGGTTGTATAGTAGCCTACCTCTGCATGGCCACCAGGGGTCAGTGTTTTCTTGCACCTAACACAGCGAAGACAAGGCCTGTGCCAGTTGCGACCCAGTGACATCACCTTCTCAGCTGCAGCATTAGACCATGACATCACATTACATCACATTAATACAACACAATGCTATTTTTGATGGTTATATATTTAAAAAAATTTAATTAAATGTATATTCAGAAAATTAACAAAAATAAATAAGGTATTTATTTAAATATAATTTGATATAAAACATGGAAAATATAAATATATAATTCAATTATACAATTTTGTGTATAATTTATAATTTGATCAGTTTGTACATGGCTGTATATGGCTAGAAAAGAACTACAAAGTCTTTAAATGTTACACTCCAGTCTAAATGATGAGTAACCATCGTAAACAACACTCACCTTTGACTTTTACCTTAAACTATTTTAAAAACATTTATTTATTGGAATTTTTGCTGTTCCTCTTTAAATGGACTCAAAATCTCAAAATGGTCAGACCGAATGCTGCACATATACAGCAGCACAAAACCATACACACACACACAGACACACACCAACCACAGACATTCCTGAAAGTTCTCAAATGTCTGAAAAGTCATAGTTTTGATTCACTGGACTCACCGAAATAAACTGCCTTTCCACAGCCGGGACACAGACAAGTCTCTCCGGCAAACATGCGTGTAGTTGCAGTGGAAGCTACAAACAAGAGCAAAACCTTTATGTATCTGTATGTACATTTTTTTTAGCTTTTATATTCGTATAAGTTGCTGAACTATAACTATCATTTGAGCCAAGAAGGACCATAATTCATTCAAAATTACATATAGGCGCTTTTCTGTCTTGTGTCTCCTAGCATTCTATGTCTATGATATCTATTAGCCAGTTATTAATCTTGATCTGTTACTAAAACATTTTCATAACTTCTGGTTTGATGCTTCTGAAGGCCAGATCCAGGCTGGTGCGATTAAAGCTGTGCTGTACGATGTGCTTTGATAAGGATCTGCGGCACTTCATTTCACAAACCTACAGTCTTTAAATCAACGCTTCTGTCTCACATCAATGATGACAGACTGTTACCAATTTTAGATCCTAATGTCTCTTCCTGTGTTCATTTTATCAAAGTGAACCCATGGTGCTTGGCTCATGGGTTTAGGAAATCTGTTACGTTCTGAGACATTCCTCCAGACGTTTCCAAAACGGTCCAAAAAACCCTCCCCTAACATTCCTGCAATCTCCCGCCTGTCGGAAAACACCTATTAACTGGGGAAATATTTCAGGAAAGGAGCCAATCAACGAAGACCATTAAAATTCCACCGCGTAAAATCCCTAGGGGGTCACTTTAGAAAACCATCCACCAACCCCTCCATTACAACACACAAGTTCTAGTATTTCTGTTTCCCACTCAGTGTGGGAATCTGTGTCTGTGTGTTAAAAAGTGCTGAGGAAGTGTTAATGTACATTGGAATGTGTGATACGATGCAGCACAGACGAGCGTGTCAATATAAATACAGTGGCTAAGAATAGCATATGGACACTTAAGTTACACTTAACTATGACTGAACGTCATTTCATTACAAGACAAAATCAAACCAAGAGGCATCTGCAGTCAAAAGATGCAAGAGCTTTTCTCAGGAATAACATCCCTTTTCTAGGCCATTTTTAATTACTTTTAACCAACTGAAGTCAAGGTGATTGTAGTAGATGTATGAAGTCAGTTCCCCCTCAAGTTCAACAGGTGTACCAGCAGAGAAAGCACATATGTGACCCTGGACCAAAAAAACAGTCTTAAGTGTCAATTTTTCAAAATTGAGCTGAATAAATAAGCTTTCCATTGATGTATGGTTTGTTAGGATAGGACAATATTTGGCCAAGATACAACTATTTGAAAATCTGGAATCTGAGGGAGCAAAAAAATCAAAATATTGAAAAAAATCGCCTTTAAAGTTGTCCAAATAAAGTCCTTAGCAATGCATATTACTAATCAAAACTGCAGTTTTTATATAATTACGGTAGGAAATTTACAAAATATCTTCATGGAACATGATCTTTACTTAATATACTAATGATTTTTGGCATAAAAGAAAAATCAATAATTTTGACCGATACAATGTATTTTGCTACAAATATACTCCAGCGACTTAAGACTGGTTTTGTGGTCCAGAGACACATATGTAGTTTACCACTTTAAAGGGATAGTTCACCCACAAATTAAAATTACCCCATGATTTCCTCACCCTCAAGCCAACTTAGGTGCATATGACTTTCTTCATTCAGACGAATACAATCGGAGTTATATTAAAAAATGTTCTGGCTCTTCCAGGCTTTATAATGGCAGTGAATGGGTAGTAATATTCAATAGTCCAATAGAAGTCCAATAAAGTGCATCCATCCATCATTAAACAAGTGCTCCACACGGCTCCGGGGGGTTAATAAAGGCCTCCTGAAGCGAATCGATGCGTTTTTGTAAGAAAAATAACCATAACCAGTTTATTTAAAACTTTATAAATTGTAATCGCTGACTGTTTTATGCGGGTACATGAGAGAGTGGCGTTCCAGCAGATAATATAGTATGTATGCGTAGCGTAAGCTCCGGAGAGAAGTAACGAATGCGGAAGGGCAGAGGAGAGAGCAAAACAAAACACAGGTCACAAATGAGGATTTGTAAAGAAAAATGTCATTGGATTTCGATAAGCCAAGAGGAGTTTGGGTTTCCTTTGCTAAACAAAGGAAACTTTGTACTTTATTTGACTTCTATTGGACTATTGAATATCACCACCCATTCACTGCCATTATAAAGCTTGGAAGAGCCAGGACATTTTTTAATATAACAGAATTTATTCGCCTGAAAGAAGAAAGTCATGGGGTAATTTGCATTTTTGGGTGAACTATCCCTTTAACTAAGGACATATACCACTAACATTTGAGAACCAAAAAGTGTCCAAATACTTTGTTTTAATTTTTGACAGTATATTATGGAAACCACTTTTGCCTAAGAGTATAAGAATAAAAATAAAAAGGTAATTGTGACTTTATATCTCAGTGTGATATATCTCACAAGTGCCACTTTGTTTCTCACAAGATTACTTATTTTTCTTATTTTAAACTATTGCATAATTACTTTATTTTTTGCTTTTGACTTTTCATGGTATAAATATTGTTTTATCATTTCAAACCTAACAAACCATTTTGTAAAATTTTTGCTTGAAATATGTGTTTGAGATACATTTACTGAATTCTTCAGTGTCACTTGAACTTTCAGAATTCATTCTAATATGCTGGTTTGCTGCTCAAGAAACATTTCTTAGTATTAGCAACGTAGAAACAGTTGTGCTGCTTAATATTTTTGTGGAAACAGTGATATATATTTTGTAATCACGATTCATTGATGAATAGAAAGTTCCAAAGAATAGAAAAGAATTTATTCGATATTATTCGATTATTATATTTTAACATTTTAAATGCATTTACTGTCACTTTTATACATGTAATTTGTTCTTGCTGAATACAATTTTTTTTCTTACTGACCCCAAACTTTTGAACAGCAGTCTATGTCTAAATGACAGTACCTTTAGGTTGATTATAGCTGATCTGTGAGTTGGTCCAAGGTGTGGTGGGCGATCCGTCTGAAGGGCTGTTACATGATTTGTTGACCGGTGTTTGAGGAGGTGTGTCATATATGTAAGATCCCGCCCCTCCAATATTTACACCTACCAATGAGAGGACAGAACAGTGAGAACCATTCCATTACTGCCTGAGTGAGTGTTAGTGGTGGATAAAGCTCATATCTAAGTGTTCAGATTCTCCTAATGCAGATAGCACTAGACAAAAGCCAAAAATATCCTCTTCGGGTCCTGATAAAATGTATCTCTCCTGAACTGCGCACTCACTTGGATAGTATATTACAACCTGAAACAAGCATATTCTAATGTCTGAGTGTGCATTAACATAAGCTATACACTGAAACCTAGCATCTTACCAAACACAATATTTTCCTACTTCTAAACACACACACACAAACCTCAGTCAGCCACTATATGCGTCTCTCTTATGTCTTCACTGGATCTGCTTTAACTCTTCTGGTGTCTTAAGTGTTTAGGAAGACAGGGCGACATTTTTATTGTGAATGTATGTGTAC